ACTTGGATCAAAATTTGCTATAGATCACAGCTGCTAAGTATTTTACCACGAGATATAGGTAACGGGTTTTAGTCAGACTGTAAAAATAGACCCCAAGCTTCAATGCAACTTTGTTTTTTCTTCTGGCAAAAGATAATAATCACAGAACTGACGTCTTCTGGAATATATAACTCCCACAGACTTTACAGTGTTTGTTTTTAGTGTGAGGTTGTAGCTCTTCATTTGCTGGTAACACTGATGCAAGTCATGTGTTAAGTCTTGATACACTAAGCTGAAAAGTCACTCTCCCCTTTTCAAGGTAAGTTATACCATACAAAATTAAAGCTGAGAGTGTTCTCGTTATTATTTCTTGATTCAGTAGGAAAAGAGATCCTAAAATATTTATTGAAAAATAATACAAAACCACAAGAGCTGGCAAAGTTGTTTCTTTAAACACTGTCAAGGTTATTATGCAGATTTTTAAAAGGTGTTCCCTTCCCTTTTATTTGTTGTTTTCAGCTTTCCTCATTGTATTGTGTCTTATATTATTTGATGGTTTTCTTCAAGCTCCAGTTCCTGGAGCCATATGAATACATGCGAACTATACTTTTCAATTTTTTAAAGAAAAGTCAATTTGTAGCGCTCGTTGTTGCAGAAAAAAGTTTGCAAATATGACTCTGTTGCACAACAGAGGATCAAAAAAGAAAGAGCAATACATTTTAAAGACCGTTCAAATGCATTTTTAATTATCTTGTGATTTTTTTAAGACAATCTCCTAATTTTCCTGGACATGCCTTATGACTTAGAAGGAGTTAAGATTCCCAACGCTGTGTATTATGAACAGAGAAGTTTCAGAATCTATTTGACTTTTTGCTTTTTACATTGTTTACCATTTGCATTTCTTTTGCCTTTTACAATGAGCGCAAGAGAAATCACATTCCCTTACAAGATCTTAGGGCTGCAGTATTTGAGTGTAAAAATTGTAGGGCAGTGTTTATATACTTAAAAACAACTGTCTGACAGAATTGGAAGAAAAACAGTTACTCCCAGTTTTGTTATTGCTTGAAGCTTTTTATAAAGATTACTTCTAGCAAATCTTAACTTTGGGCTAATTTTTTCTTCTTTTAAACGGGTAATTATAACAAATGCATAACTACTTAATGGAATTAGTAACAGTGAAGTACATTTCACGTGTTCCCCAATATTTCTTTATTTCCCAGAGTGTTGAAAATCAATTTAATCAGTACAGTAAATGGCATTTTAAAGAGAATGGAGAGCAACTGGTAAAAAACCCAAAAATCTTATCTCTATATTTCGCTTTCTAGGAGGGTGCTTCTACTAATACTAAAGTCAATTTGCTTATATTGTTTTATGATATTCCATGTTTTTACACTGTATTCTATTTTGCATAATGCACATAACAGTCTGAACAGGAATTCTCTACAGAAATGAACAGGATTTGATCAATTGTCATTTATTATTTTGAGCCCTGTATACTGCAGTCAGTGGTAAAACTGTAACAGCTAAAGGTCACATCACAAACTATATCTGCAGTTGCTGTTGTTACTAGCCTTGGAGTTATCTGAAAGTGATTAAGTCAAAGCTGTTGGGTAGTGGTTAAGTTGAATTGCATAAATTGGAATGTGTCTAGGCTACTATTGCATGGTATTTGGTGGGAAATGGTTAGTGCTTTATAATTAAAATGCTTTTCAGTTGCGTAAGTAGGGAATAATGATTCAAGTTATTACTAACTAATTAGCAGATACAGGTTACTACTTGCATAGATTCATAGATTTTAAGGCAGAAGGGACCATGAAAACATCTAGTTAGATTCCCTGACTAGCACAGAATTTCATCAGAGCTGGTTGAGGAGATTTTGATGGAAGCATATTATTAGAGTATGTAATTCCAAAAATAAATCCAAAAAGTTTGTGCAATTGGTTCAATTATAATAATGTTGAAATGTCCCATCTTAACATTTTTTGGAACTAAATGATTCTATTTTTTCAATTTGTGTAATTCTTTTAGATATAAAAATACAAAAGGAAGCCCAAATTCAAATTAAATTATTGACTCCAAACAAAGTACTGTCTTCTTCCCAGCTATGGGATGGTTAATAAAAGAGCCCCACTGCCTTATTGCTACTGAAGTTAAGGTTAGGTAAAGTAACATATTTGCCCCAATTTGGAACAAAGCAAAATTTCAAAATCATGAAATCCTGTTTTATGAAGTGGAATCTGTATTCTGTTTTGCTCAAGATTTCACCCAGAGACATCTGCATGCGACTCATTGACTTGTATAGTCAGCTTGTAGTTTGACTCAAGCGTATCTTCCAGAAAAGCAGCTAAGCCCCTATTTGCAAAGGTAGATATGACAACTACTGGTAATTTGGTTTGGTAATTGGTTACAATGCTTAATCATCTTCATTGTAAAAAATCTGTGCTTTGTTTTTAACTTGAATTTCAAGCTTGTTTCCAGTTAAAATTTCCAGTAATTGATCTACTAGATTGTTTTCATAACTTTACATTTTAAATATGTCCAAGAATGGAGATTCCACAACTTCCTTGGTTACCCCATTCCAATGTTTAACTACTCTCCTTCCAACCCTGTGATTCTGTGAACCTATTGAAATATCCAGGGATGGTTAGCATCTGGGGGTGGGATTATAAACCAACTGCTGAACAGAAAGGGTGCGAATTGTGGAATGCTGTCCCAGGAGAGATGAAGTTTCAATATACCTTGAGATAGGCTTGGTGAGAAAGGACAGCAGTGTAGCTAACCTAGTGATAAGAGCCTTTTGAATCTTTTAGGCTAGGGACAGACATTACACATAAACCAGTTTAAGTGATCAGAAACTGATTTAAACCTGTAATGGAACAGAACTTCACTGCACATAAACCAGTTTCAAAATGGCCGAAACTAGTTTAAGATACACCTGGTTGAATGTAGTATCAGACTTAATTGATTTTGAGTCCAACTGGCTTTTGAAATGTCTGTCCCAGACCCTTTCCTGATTTAAGTTAATACAGAGTCTCCCAGCATCCCAGATTCTTTGTGGCTGGGCTGAGCTAGGCTGTGCTCTCTGCTCCAGAAAACAGGCTGCCCTCACCCCTCTGTTCCCTAGTAAGAGCTCCGGGGGGACTGCAGGCACAGCCCTAGCCTTACTGTAAGGTATATCCTGCAGCTTTCCAAGCTCACTTGTGGTTCTTGCTTACGCAGTCTTTAAAACTGTAATCAGTATTCTAGTAGTGGTGTTACCAGCTCTCAGAAATGAAATCACCCGCTTCCACCAGTTCAGACATCCAACTATTTTACTACACTCGCATTGAATTTGGCCACTGATGGTGGAATTCTCTCTTGCACATCTAAGTGATAGTTCTCTAGTTGTCTACCTGGACAATTTTGTCCCCTGCTTTAAACTCTGGAGGTGCAAGCTTGCAATATAACCTACAGATGAACACCAGAGCTATGCTCAAGTTCCAGAAAAAAATTATCGGTGAGAAGGACCCTCCCATGTTTTACCCCCACCAGCTCAATGGATAGGTCACTTGCCCAGGAAGCAATAGAACTGCATTTTAGACCTCGCTCACCCAGAATGCATTCAGAACTGAACGTGTCTGATTTCTATTTTGGAAAGGTAGAGTTCAACCCACCTTTAAGAAAGGGTGTCCAGCTTTCTGAGTGCGCTAAATATTCCTCTGTTAGAACTAAAATCCAGAAGGATCCTGTTCCTCCTTTTCCCTGCAGTCACGTGTTTAAGCACCTACTTTTTTAGGCCAGTATGCCAGCATGTGGACAGAAGAGATATATGTATATAGCCCTATGCCTGCCTACTGCATGTGTAGCCTATCGCACATGCTTAGTATATACATACATAGTTAATGTACTCTGTCAGTGAAATATTATAGCTACCTGCATGTAAGTGGCACTTTTCGCTGAAAAACTGCCACTTACACATGCAAAAAGTGAACTGGAACTTCACCTATGGATGCTTTTCCAGCCACTGCTTTCCAGACATTTTTTTTTAAATGTCCAAAGTGTCCCATGATGATGTGGGGGAAAAAAAGAGAAAAAAAGTTACCAGTTTGCCAAGGAATGGGATGAAACATTTAAATGCAAGAACCAGCAGCATACCTACAGGCTGGGGAACTCCCTTCTTGGCAGTGCGAAGGCAGAAAAGGATCTTGGAGTCATCACTGATGCCAAGATGAACATGTGCCATCAGTGTGGGGATGCAGTCAGGAAGGCCACCTTGTCATCCATCCACAGATGCATCTCAAGCAGGTCCACGGAGGTGATCCTCCCCCTCTATGCGGCACTGGTCAGGCCGCAGCTGGAGTACTGCGTCCAGTTCTGGGCGCTGCACTTCAAGAGGGATGTGGACAACGTGGAGAGGGTCCAGAGGAGGGCCACTCGTATGATCAGGGGGCAGCAGGGCAGGCCCTACGAGTACAGGCTACAGGACCTGAACCTGTTCAGCCTCCACAAGAGAAGGCTGAGGGGGAAACTAGTGGCCATCTACAAATTAGTCAGGGGGGATCAGCAGGCACTGGGGGAGTCCCTGTTCCCCCGAGCACTACCAGGAGTGACCAGGAATAACAGTCACAAGCTGGCAGAGGGTAAATTCAGATTAGACATCAGGAAGTGCTACTACACTGTCAGGGCAGCTGGGATCTGGAACCAACTTCCAAGAGAAGTGGTGCTGGCTCCTACCCTGGGGGTCTTTAAGAGGAGGCTAGACGAACACCTTGCTGGGGTCATTTGACCCCAGTACTCTTTTCTGCCATGGCAGGGGGTCAGACTTGATGATCTGCTCAGGTCCCTTCCGACCCTACTAACTATGAAACTATGAAACTACTATGGTAAAATGCCAAGTTACTGAAATAAAAATAATCTTTCTGACAACACCTCTTTAATGAAGGGACCAGCACGAACATGTTGGTTTCCTATCTGTTTTCCCTTTCGTACTTTGTACTTTGTTCTCTAGATTGTGAGCTTTTTCTACTCTCCAATTTTGTTAGCAGCTTCTCCCAATAAGAACTGCTTATGCATTGGGACCACAAAGGTATAACAGGATCCCAAAGCTAGAAGAAAGAGCACATCCACAACCAACACACATCCTGGAAAAGAAGCAGAATGGGCTGCAACATAAACTATGGTCTACTCACTGGGGCTATCATTGGAGCAGTGCTGGCTATCTTTGGAGGAGTCTTAATACCACTTGGTGATTACTTTGTTAGCAGTACAATAAAGAAGGTAAATATGTTATTTCATTCCGTTTTTTAAATGTAGTTTGGGGTTATTATAAAAGATCACTTAGATTGTAATCATTGGTCTGATACACAATGCATTGAGAAAACTGGGACGTTATTAATCTCTGGGAATTCAGGCTGTAGCTGAGCTTCTGGGAAGCTGATGTGTTTATGTTTCACCTAAGTTCATTTGCATGCTTTTATTTTCTCTTGTTTTCATGCTTAGCATGAGGGAAAAGTGATAAAAAAAATGTAACATTAAAGATGAGTTTCCCGATGAAAAACTACAGCAGTTGGAGAATCAAACATTTTAAAACTCTTCTCTTCTTGGCTAGGGACAGAAGTAACACATAAACAGGTATAAGTGATTGGAAATTAGTTTAAATCTGTAACACAACAGAAGTTTATGTGCTTTGAAAGCACATAAACTGCTTTCAAGAAGGCTGAAACTGGTTTAAGATAAACCTGAAAGGATGTAGTATCAGACTTAACTGATTTAGGTTCAATCAGTTTAGGACATAGTCCCCGCCCTGACTCCTATGGCAAAGTCCGCCCTGGCATCAGGCAGCTTCCCAGGACAGGGAGCAATCTCCCACCCCTGGTGGACAGCTGATCAGGATCAGATTTTGCTCCCAGTCAGGCATCTACACAAGTGCTATAGCACTGTCACATTTGCAGGTAGCAAATTTACTCAGGATTAAGGAGATTTACTATGAAGTAAGCATGTAGATGCACATGCTTACCTCTCAGTAAACTATGCTGATACGAAGTTAAGCGTCTCATATAAATATGCCCACACAGTGACTACTGTGCCTATTAAGGTATCTGTCATAGTCAATGGGCTCATGATCTCAAGAATCCTACATCATGCATTTCCTCACTTGATCAGACCCTTAAGTACCAGTTGAGTAAAGAACATGTGAAGTTCTGCCTGGTTGAGATAGGTGGAAAAAATGTTCTTTTTCACAGAGTGTTTACTTATTTCAAAATTGGAGTTCGTTTTACATTCTCAGTAGAAATGGATGTTATTGGAAGTTCCCCAGTATCAGAAAGTCCCCATGCCTGGATTTTGGAATCCAGAGATCACAAATACAAATATAGTTGTGTGGGTGGGTTGTTTTGGGCCTGGGAGCCTGGGTTTAGTGAGGTTGAGATGCTCCCAGTGATGAGCTGCACTAGAGCCCCAGCCTGACAAGCTGTACTTCCCCTGCCTGCCTGGCAGGAACAGCTGGACAGGAATTGGTAAAAACCCAGGAACTTTTCCACTGGAGTCCTGCCTGGTTTTCAGTAGAATTTTGTCAAAATAAAAACATTTCTGTAAAACTGCCTGAGGTTTACAACTCTGCAATATCCATCACAAATTTTATTGCAATTTGCAGTTTTTTCCAGCCAGCTCTAGTTCTAGTTTTTTATTTTGGTTTGGTTTGGTTTGGTTTTGGTTTTTTTTTAAATTATAGATTCAGGGGGGCTAACATGAAATCAATAAATGACAAATTGGTTTATCTCACTAAGGCATGATCCCCCACCTACCAATATGTTGCTTTATGCCTAAATACATTTCTGCAAAAAAATCAAGAATACTTGGAATAATATGTCATTTTAAACAATCAGTTACATAACCTTGAAATTCATTCTAATTTTGCAAAATTAAATATTTGTTTTTGGTTAGACAAGAGCATTCTTTCAATTTGTCAGGTTTTTTTTTAACATTGAGTATTGATGTTGGCAACATTATTATATATTCCATTGTTTACTTTATATGAATATTCCTCTGAGATCAGTTATACAATAAACATTCTTTGAAAATCTCTATTGGGTAAGAGTAGATGTGTGAGATCTTAACTTGTAAGTTACAGATGGAATAAACTTTTGCTTCTTTCTTTTTTAATTTTTTTAAATTTTTTTTATTTTTTGGTTTTGTTGCAGCCGTGATCATTTCTTTTAGCTATTTGAGTTTTTTATCATTCAAGTTGTTGAATACATATACAATCGAGTTTACAAATGTATTTGAATCATGTTTGAATAGTTATTACAGGGTGTTTTGGATTTAAGATACTGGTAATGAAGAATCACTCTGTAGGAGTGCTATAGTGGAGTTTTACATTCATCACTCCCAGAATAAATTTAAAGGTGAAAAAATACTCTAACTGCCACAGTTATTCTGGATCATGTGAGTCAAGTGGTCAAGTGACCTTCTTTCATGTGCATCATCACTGCCACTCAAGTTAGACTGTCAGAGACACCTGGGTAATCCCCTTCCCAGAAAGAAGGTTTTGCATAAGTATAAATTATTGAAACTTGTAAAGTAGAAGTATAACTCATTGAAGCTCTGTTTGCAATGAACAGAAAGAAAGCAAAACTAATTAATTCATTTTGAACTGCGTTCACCTGTCAGGTTAACAGGAACAATGAGCAATAAAACTTTACATGAGTCACCACAAACAAATAAAAAATAAAGATATGGTTGCCTATGTGTAGGGAGCTGGTCTGTTCAGTTGAAGTTGTTAAAAACATTTTGATGTCGTTTTTTGCTCCTGGAAAAGGCTGTTTTTGTTGAAATCAACATATTTAATTGAAACGTATCAGTTTCAGCTCACATGGCTTTGGGAAGGTGTGTGAGATCCAGAAAGGAATATATGATGGCAGATCTACATGGCTGAGCTTGCGCTAGAGATTACTGCAGTGAAACTAAACCCCAAATATATGTAATGGAACTACACTACATCTGGATGCATGCCAATAACCTCACTGTGTTCAAAGGCAGCTAGCTACATTGCATCTTTCTGAGTATAGCACATGTGAACTGGATATGACAGACATTCAAAAAGCCTGGAGTAGAATTGATCTAAGATACATGGTTTTCTGTAAGTGGTGTAGTTTAGATCAGTAGCAAACAGAACACACATCTGCCCGTTGGGGGCAAGAAGCAGAACAGCAAATCTTAGACTAGGTCCACCATTTTTAAACCAGTCTACATGTATCAAACTTCAGCTCTGTTACAGGTAAAGACTGGGTTCCAATCACTTATACTGGTAAAAGTATAATGTCTGTATCTTCCTGTAGAGCAGGGGTGGGCAAAATGCAGCCAGGCCATTCTATCTGGCCTGTGGGGCCCCTAAAAAATTTAGAAAATTAATATTTATCTGCCCCTGTCATGCAGTCCTTGATGGCTTGCCAAAACTCAGTCAGTGGCCCTCTGCCCAAAATAATTGCCCGCCCCTGCTGTAGAGTGTGGCATGTGGGGCTCCTGTGGGGACCAGGAATTAGAGAGCAGGACAAGTAGGGGTGGCACCCACCACTAAATTCTGTCAAACAGAGCCATGTTGGGGACACATGTCAGCAATGAAGGGCATAAATGATGGGCATTTTTATTTCTGTAGTTCAACCTATAGCAGTCAGTGTTGCCACTGGTTGTCCAACTGCCAGGTGTGGGTGTGTATCTGGTCCACAAGGCTCCTCACGGTCTGGATCCAGCCCACAAGGAGGTACAGAGCCATCTCAGGGAGCCAAGGGAGTTTGACATCCCTGACATTTGCCTTTCAGCTGCTTAGGGCTGAACGTTGATACTCTTCACAATTACAAGGAATAAAACAGCCGTGAAGTAACAGGTTATGGGCATTTATCTATATTCTGCAGTCACCAGTCACTCCCACACAAATCCAGCTTCCTTCAAATGGGGAAGTTTGGGCTGCACATATAAACAATATTATAAATCCTTGTAAATAAGAAGTGCTGGTCTGGCTTCAGGTTCAAAGAAATATTAGGAAAAGAAGCCTAGCAGGAAAAACATTCAGTTCTTTTTTTTCAGATTTTCCTGAGTAAAAACTTCAAGATTAATTCTGGTTAATTCCCAAGAGCAAATTGATTTTAAATAAACTTATTGATTTTTATTTCCAAACACAGTTTTTGTTTTTTCAAAGGGAGACAAGCTAGCTTGTGAGGTTAGTACATGCAGACTCATGCACTTAGAAGTTTGACCTTGCGTTCCACCATTATCTCCTAGATAAGGCCCTATGGAAGGTACTTGAACCACGTGGCTTTAAACAAAGTTCACAGTGCAAGTGGGGGCAGAAACGATTTTAGCCTTATTAACAACCAGATTTATGATGCCGTAAGCATTGACTCAAAATACTCCTAGGATTGCTGTTCCAAGGGTCTCTAGCCCAGGCCTGCTTGCCTGTACCTTAAATCCTCTTTCTGTAGTGAGTGCCCCCACTCAGGGCTGGTGGCAGACATGGAGGCATAGGCCTTCTTTGGAAGGGTTGTTCCACCTCACCCTTGCACTAATCCAAAACAGCAACAGCAGCCATAAGCTACAATGCTAATAAAGGTCTGGTCTAGTTAACCCCAACTCCCAACGGCAGGTTTCAGGGTATCTACCCTTTAAGGGCATCCCTCCAAGGAAGTTGGCAGTAACAATCAAAGCATTGGCTGTGATCCACATGCTGGGTTTATTCCCCAACTGTAACTTCAGCCTATTTACAACCCAAGTACAGCTGTCAGAGGGGAGAGGTTTCCCGATGTAAAGGTGCCTGCTACTGCATAGCAGGGCTTATGGCCAATTGCTTCCACACAGAGATGTGCTGGGGAAAGTAATTATATTTCCTGAAGAAGTTGAAGATTGGGAAATTTGGCCTTATTCTAATTAAGAAACATACAGAATGTTCCATTAAATAAAATTCCCAAAAATATTGTGTTTTGGATCCATGGAAACATTTTGTTTGGATTTTCTGATTTATGTATTTAGTTTATTTTGTGTTATATCCAAACAGACAATATGGAAAACAAATGAAAGTGTAAAACCACTTCTGGCCAGAAAAATTAAAATGTTTCATTCCCAACTTGTCCCATTGCAAAATTGTCAGAACTTTTCCTTACCTTAGCTAGGAAATCACATTTTTGGCAAAATTAACATTATTGCTAAGATGTTTCCATTATAATGGTTTTGCACACTTTTCCAAAGTTTGATCTTTCTTCAAACTTTTTCTGAACAGTTTCATCCAG